AGGTAGATGGCAGTAGGAAAAGAGAAAGACTACATTCATATGGATAGACTCCTTCAAAGAAGCCACAAAAGTTGCCCTGAGTCTGCATTATTGTCTTTTCCACTGAGTCATATCTTCTCATGATATGCCCAAAGTATGACAGTTTCAGTTTAGTCATCTTGGACTGAACTTTAAATGATGAATTTTAAATGTGGATTGTTTTAATATGTGTGTATTGTCCTTTTAAATTGTTGTGTGTTTTAACTGATGTGTCTTTAACTGATGTTGTGTATTTGTTAATTGTTGTTATTCTCCACTTCTGGGGAATAGGTGGGTAGGAAATAATAATAATAATAATAATAATAATAATAATAATAATAATAATAATAATAATAATAATAAGAGTTCAGGCTTGATTTGCTGTAGCATCAATTTATTTGTCTTTTGGCACTCTGTGGTATTCACAGAACTCTTCTCCAAAACCACATTTCAAATGGGTTAACTCTCTTCCTATCAGCTTTTATCCTAGTCCAACTTTCACAACTATACATAGAAATGGGAAATACAAGGGCATGTATAATCCTGACATTAGTATTCAAATGATGCATGTTGGCATTTGAGAATCTTGTCTAGTTCCTCCATAGCTGCCCTTCCAACTCCTAGTCTTCTTCTGATTTCTTCTTGATTTCTGCTTTCTTGACTGCACTTTCCATAAGACCCCATGTTGACATTTGAGGATCTTATCTAGTTCCTCCATGACTGTCCTTCCAACTCCTAGTCTTCTTCTGATATCTTGTTGATTTCTGCTTTCTTGACTGCAGTTTCCAAAAGACCCCATGTTGACATTTGAGGATCTTGTTTAGTTCCTTCATAGCTGCCATTCCAACTCCTAGTCTTCTTCTGATTTCTTCTTGATTTCTGCTTTCTTGACTGCACTTTCCATAAGACCCCATGAGGTCTTATGTTCTTGGAAGGAGGCTTTTTCCTCCATCCCACCACTCACACAACCTCATCTGGTAGGGATAAGACAGTAGTGTCACAAGAGGGATGCGGGGGGTGCGGACCGTACCAAGGGGGTAACACCACTGCTCCTCAAACACCTACATTTGGGCAGAAACAGCCTGTGGCATTCACCTGCTTCCCTTTAAAAAGATTTAAGAGGTGGTAGGAGTGGGGTGAAGCTCAGTGGGAAGAGAAAGGTGAGGTCTTAGATTTTTTAAAAAAATTAAAATTTCAAATTTCAAAATTTTAAATAAAAAAAATTTAAATGTTTAATTTTTTTAAAATTCTGTTTAAATGTTCTGTAAAAACATCACATTTTAACCAAATCTTCACTATGTATATGTAAATACATTTAGGTTGTCTGTGTAATATTGTAATTTGAAGGTCTAATTTTAATTTTGCTAGTTGCTTCTCTCGCAACTAATAGCATGACGCTCAGTGATATGTGGGAATTACGATTTATGAGTAACATTAGTGCAAGAATGCATTACTAAGGATTCTGTATGGTGTGAAATGGGAGGAGGTCAATGGGGGACACACACCATGAGTTACCACACCAAGTGACACCAGTCCTACTGATGCCACTGGGAAAAGGGAGAGGGCCTTCTTGGTGGCTGTTCCTAAACTGGATCTCTCTCTCAAGGGAGGCCTAGTTGGCTCCTTCTTTGCTGTCTTTTCACTAGAAGCAAGACCTTCCTGTTTAAATAGGCTTTCTGCTTTTAACAGAAGGATGTTCACTTCATAGTGCTGTTTCTTTTTCATAGGAGCTATATACATACATACATACATACATACATACATATAATAATATAATATTATATATCTATATCTATATCTATATCCATATCTACCGTATTTTCCGGCGTATAAGACGACCCGCGTATAAGACGACCCCCCCATTTTTCCAGTCAAAATATAGAGTTTTAGCACCTCCATCCTCATTATCCTTATATCCGGCGTATAAGACGACCCCCCCATTTTAGCCACAGATTTTGCAGGTAAAAAAGTAGTCT